TCGTCGTATAATAAAAAGGATTTATTATTTTATATATGGATACTTTTACGTTCCATCCATAAAGTTTATTGCGGCAAAATCAAATTTAATTAATCGAAGAAAATGATCCACTTGCAAATGTTAAAATTCTAGATAGATGTGCAATATTTTCTCACGCGTTAAAAATTGTCACGAATTTTCCGAATAACCCAGTAAAAATTCGAGAAGCTCGAATATCTTAGAAGAAAAAGAAAGAAAGAAAACTTGGTAATAACCAGGAGATTGCGTACTCGAGAATAATCTTAGAACGTCAGCGAGTACTCGAAAATTCTCAGAGAGACTCGGTGTCCTGTTTTCCCCTCTGGAGCCCAATGATGTTCTCTCGCCCCTCTCATGGTAAATATTACATCCAACGTAACGCTCTTAAGCGTCGTTTTGCATAGAACGTGTCGGCTTTAAAGCGAATGGACGCAGTGGATCCTTCTTCTTTCGGATCACGGGCTTGTGCATTCGGAAGGATATCCCGGCTAACTCGAAAAATCTCAGAGCTCGATCGACGTCGCGTCATCGACACAAGAAATCCTCGAATTTCATTATTCAGATGAGCATCATTCCGTGACTGATCGATCGCTAGGCAAAGTGAGTGCAGAATTACATGAATAATCTATGTCGCCCTGAGTGCCGGATCCTCCTCTTTCGAGCTTTCAGACCATATCGCCTTTGAGCCAATTCATCCACTTCCGCCAGAGCGCGCCACTTCCTTACCGGCCTGCCTTTCTCTCGCCATTTCTTTCCGCTCTTCCCTTTGCCACGTGAATCAACCACGTATCGTTGTGCACGTGTTTATACACGGTGAACAAGTTTGATTCGCGATCCCAAAACTTTTCCCTCGACCATTTAACGATCGTGATCCGAGAAAATATTCTCGATCGTCTCGATCGAAACATTCTGCTTATGTAATGTTTGATCAAGTTGATGCTTTGACGAATTTCAAGAATGATGAAGGAGTTTTTGGTGTAGAAAGTTTGGAAAATTTTTTAAATAAATAATATTGAGGAACTGTAAAGGAGTTTGGATTGAAAAATGAATAGTGTTGCTTATGATTTTATCAAGAATCATTATTAAATTCATCTATAAAGCTTCTTTATAATTTCTTACATCGCATAACATCACACGATGAGCATTTGTTGAGATATCTTGCGACGAGGATAGAAAAAATTAATTAATCTCATATTTAATATTCTATATAAAACAGTTCATGCAAATCGTGAAAATCTAGCCGTTCGTGTATATTCCATTATCTGATTAATAAAAGAAAGAATCGAAGTAAACGATAGAGTAAAATGTCATGAATAATTAATGAACGTTTCTAAGTCTAACGCTACGTACACGAGAATTATCGAGCAGGATTTTAGAATAATAAAAAATAAATTGCTCCGTTTCACGAAAATGTGAACGTAGAAAAATACGAACTTGGAGAGAGATGACGTTAATTGAAAGGGGAGGGGGAGGTGATATGATAAATATCATTCGCGCGAATAAATTTACGCTTAGAGTAATTAGGATGATAAACGTGGATGGTTTATGGGTAGGCGTCAATGAGTTACACGAAAGTTGCGATCGTAGTTGCATAAATTGATTTGAAATTCATTGTCTGCAGTAAAACAACGATCGGCGCCCGCATTAAGCTCCATGCAAATGAACGTGAAACAGAATCACAGGACAATGTTCTACATTATCGTTTACATCGTTAATACCCGTGCCCATCCTGTGTACGAACCGTTTCAGACGCATTCGACGGGGGGGAATTATTTTTTATTTCAAACGCAGTGATGATGAAGGAGCACTACCAATAGATCGAATCTTATCACGTTTAATATTTAGTTAAGTCAAAATAAACTAAACGTTTATACAGATCCCTTAAATAATAATCAAAGTGTTATTTTGAAAATTATTTACGTAAAAAGATTTACGTTTCTGAAATAAAAGAGTTATTAGAATTCAGGATTATTTAAAAGCGATATGAAAACACATTAGGATTATTAAAACTCGTCTCGACGAAATCAAACGCCATTTTAAGATTATTTCAAGATAACTCGAAGGATATTAAGATAATTGAAAGTGAATAATTTAATTAATTTCGAGATTGTTTGTTTCTCTTCGAAAAAATATTTACGTTTTAAGAAGTGAAATTTCTTCGAATACACACGTTTCCGAACTATTCCGACCATATCTTCTTTCTCTTCCTCTATTTTTCCATAAATTCATTTAATCGTTACGTGTCTTTGTACGTCGCGCAATTTGTACACGGTTTACAGAAACAGGCACGATAAAACTTCGGTTAAAAACAATTATTTATCCGGGGTCCCGCTGTTCCCGCGCAATGAGGGAAAATGAGTCGAAGTTATAAATAGTGCGGCCCCCGCGGGTAGCCGACCGTATTTCTGGCTATACTATGGAAAGGATAAAAGGGGAAGATCTATGGAGGACAGAGGAGACCGCGGAAAGAAAAATAAATCTATTTTTTCAGTTTCATCCTTTTGTCCCGCTCGACCGTTGCACCGCGCGAGCTCGAAGAATTACAGCGCGGCTCTTAAGTAACCGGATGCGATTAGAGGGTAAACCCGCGGAAACGCGATATCCATCCAGTAGCCAGACGTAAACAGAAACGGTGACAACCTGCGTGATACGTCTCTAAAACGAGTTTTAAAAACATTTGCATCCCTCCTGTTGCAATTATAGTTTATTTTATATATCAAATGGCAAATCTCTTAATATAATTTTCTCTCTTTTCTTAAGTAAAGGAGAAAAAAATGTCAAAACACGTGCGAAATATAAGCGATACGTTTATTAGTCGAGAATATAATTGTATCTACGCAAGGATGACGTCTACATTTTCCGCGGGTAAGAAGCTTATGCCGAAGAACATTATGTCGAGGAATCGATGTTCAAAGCATCGAAGAGCAAAGAAGCAACCGTTTCACCGATTAAAAATATATCGTGGACGAAGAAACGATGGTTGGTCCTCAACGACGGATACTAATTCCCGCAAAAAATAAATTGATCCGGAATCGGTCGACGTGAGACCGAGTTCGACGAGCATTACAGCTTGCGTCGATCGTTTCCAATTTTCAAACACGTCCCCCGGGGACATAATTTCTTCCACGTTCTACCCGTGCTAACTAACACTTGCGACTGCGCGCTGCTCGATCTGTTCGCCGTGCTTTTTCCCCCCAAAAGGAAAAGAAAGAAGAAGGAGAAGGAAGGATAGGAAAAAAATTCCTGGCTAAAAAGAAACGCTACGTAGCCGGATCGTTCCCGAGCTGCAATAAAAATAGTTGGACACGGTTAACAGGAATCGAAAATTATGGTCCATCCCGTTCGGCCGACGACCAGTGTATCTAACGTTGGTAATATCGCCGTCTGGTAAACCGCACATTGCGACTCATACCGATCCGGTACGATGTTAACCACCATACACGTGTGTGTCTCCATACCGCTTGCCTCCATCCCCCTTTCCCTTCCTCTCTCTCTCTCTCTCACTCCCGATACGACCCCTCGCTCCAACCGTTTGTCCACACACTTTCGAGTAAAGTAGTAATGAACGCGTTCTGCAGTTTGCACTCGGCGCGACCCCGCCATTATTACATTGCTCGAGCTAAATAAATTATTCCGACGTGCTACCCCCGTGGCTTTCGTCGTCCTATCGTCGTCGCATGCGGGAATACTCGCACGGTATCATGCCCGAAATTTCCCTCCGCATTCTTGCGATCTTCCCTTGTCAACTCTATCCCAGCCAGGGCAATTACGAGGGCTGTTTATGACGTTTATGCGAGGTGTTCGATCGATAGATAGTATTTCGCGTACAAAGTATAAGGATCAGGAAGCATCGGGTAACGAAGAGAGTTTGTACGAAATAACGATATAAGTGTAGTTTGTAAGTTTGTAAATTTTAAAAAAATTCTTTCGAGGAAATATTATTTTATATGAAGAAAATAGAATTTATATATTTTGTTAACTAATCTTCGCAAGGACAGATACATGCCTGGAGACATATGACAAGATACTAATTTCCAATTCAGAGGAAGAGGGTGGAGTAGAGAAATAGATGCGGATATCGTACATCCGCAGTTAAATGCAGCAAATGTAAGACAATAATCGGGAAGATAATTATATTAATAACGGATGGAGGTCAAACGCGAGCGGATGGCATGTGCTGGCGTGCATACGATAGTAAATACATCTAGGGTGCGTACGTGCGGAATACATATGCACGAGACTGCATCGTGCTTGGTTCGTAACTCACCAGGATATTGGATACTCTGTTATCATAGTAAACCTCCATCCCTCAGTGAAGCCGGTGACGACGTAATTATCTCTAGTAATTAAAGTACACACCTACTTTGCTCGATATTGGCTCTTTAGAGCCTGCCACGGACGAAGTGCGCGGAATTATGGAAATCATAAGCAAGCAACGACGTTTAACTAACGTTGCACGGGAACGATCCTGACCAGAGATAATGTGTACCACCGTCTCGGTTCTCCACCGATATTGCGCGAGTTCCACGAATATATTCGTGAAAAATAAATTACGATAACATGGTAATTGTCGGGAAGAGCCTGTTTTATATTTATATTTGTAAAACTTTTCATCGAATCCTTTTGTTTGATTGAATCAAACACAGAGCGATTCGGCCCAAATTAAACATTCTAAAAATAGTAGTTTTGATTGAAGAAGCGGGTAGAACAAATTGGACAATACATATATTGAAGATATTTAAGATCAATATATAGATATTTTTTTTAATTCATATCTCGACAATTTCCTCGATTATTTTTAATTCGATCCAAAATATATTCATACGTACGTATATAGTATAATATATTCATCAAAGTCATTTCATATCCATTTTACAATCTATTTCGATCAGATGTTAAATGGAACGCGTATTTTTTTGCTTTCGAATGGCTCTCGCGATTCGCATAGATTGCGATAGAAAACAAGAATAGCAGTTACTCACGTTATACGATGAAAGCATTTGGCACCTGAAGCCTTGCATTTGCAGATTTGTCTGCGTCTTCTCTAGACGTTCGCCATTCTCCTTTCTGGAAAATTGTAATGCGCCGTCTTCTTGCGGACCACCAGCTTTTAAGGGATTTATCGAGCCCCACATTAAATGGCACTGATCTTAGTAAATCCAGATGGAATTCTCGTGTTTCCGCCACTTGGCGTAGCTTCCAGGATTTGGCGGCAACCGTCGTACCTCTACGCCAAAAATCGATTTATTCGCATTAATCGTCGGCTTGCGGAGTGCACGACATATTTCCATATTAGAATTAAGTGCTACGTCCCTGAGCGACAGACAAAAAAGCGATGAGAAATGTCCCCGACCAACTGTCAGTTGTAACACCAATGTCGCGACACTTTCTCGTTTCACGTATTGTAATAAATAAAATGCTGTATAATCTGAAGAATAACCACAAAAGTGATATCGACTATTCTGCGTGTTCGATAAATATGAAGAATTTCAATAGATGTTATCAGTTTTATCCTCGCTGTCTATGTAATTTGCCAAACAACTCGTATACTATTTAAAATTAAATGTCATTTGTTAAAATTAATATATTTCTATGGTAAATGTAAGTTGAAAATATACTTACATTTATATTGTGACAGAAATTATACTTGGCAATATTAAAGATGAAAATTTACCTACGCATAGTTATCACGTAGGTTTATGTAATGCTAGCATATTACCAACTGTAAGCATTATGTGTCCAAAGTTCAGTCAGTTCACCACTCAAAGTTGCTTTGCGAGAACAAAGGATTAGGATCGTGTGCACAATTATTACAGTTACAAGTTCTAAAGCTAATGAAAACAGGTTTGTAATTGGCCCGACAACAATTATATATTTTACATAATCTTCTCTACTTTCCTATAGTTTCTCAACTATGAAGTCATTGATCGTCCATCAAGGAAGGAATAGATTATTTATAGAAAATTAACTGTAAAACATAAAATATCAAAATTATTACAAATTTTTTTTCTTTTAAACATTCTCTCAAACATCAAGAATATATAAAAATTAATAATAAAACACAAAATATCAAGGAAACTATAAAATTTTTCTTTTAAATATTATCAAATATTATAGTGAAACAAATCTCTCTAAAACCTATCGATTTTATAAAACTATCATTACTCAAAGACTACCTTCTGGCGTGATATAGGAAAATCGAATAAAAAGCTGTGATAGAATGACCGACAGGTTTGGTGGATTGGTGCATCTTGCACTTACGTTTCTTTCTGTAAAATAGAAGAGGGGTGAAGAATAGACACAGTGGAGGTAGTAAGTGGCCTAGTAAGTCTCACGATAACAGTTATAAATGACCCTCTCGAAGTATGGCGCCGTGCCATCCAACCCTCAGCTAGACACTAGACACTGGCTCCTTCGTAACCTAACACATGCCCAGACGATATAGTCGTAAAAGGTACTAAACAAACATACGCTAAGTGGCCTGGTCACAGCGTGTGCGCGACTATACTACAGGCTGTTTACGTATCTTTGATCGATAATAGTGTATGCTGTTATGTGGTTACAGATCGATTCTTCCTCCTAAGATTGTTACACCATAGATATCATTTTTGAGGAAGACATCTCCGTTTCAATGTAATTTTCATTGAAACATGGCCATAGTACTTTATATTTCCGCACTTACTACTTTGATATAATTATGATGTTTTCTAGACGTAAGCATCTAAAACGAACATAATTTTTTACTTTAATTTATGCTGTATGGATAAATCTTTAGAATATTAGACAGATAAGAAAACAAGAATTATCAATGTTTATTATTTTTTAGAATTTTTTATAACTCATTTACTTAATAGATTATTCCAAATGTTCAAACATTCATTATATATTATTATAGATCATACATTCCTTCTCATATTGCTTAATCTCATATTGTTTTTAAATAATTTGTTTGTATCGAGCAGATTATCTTTGATTATCTTATTCTTCTTTTTAGAGAATATTAACTGAACATAACCAATAAGCAATTTACAAGTATTAAATATCTATAAATGATCATTATGAATTTTTATACAAGAATACTTTTAAAAAATATATATATAAAAATAACATAATAAAAAGTTAATTATATAAAATAAATTATAAAAAAATCAAAAAAAATATTCTCTACAAGATTATATTTAGTAAATACAATTATATATTAAAAAAATGCACTTCTAATCGCACTAAAAGTTCAGCCAAAATATAATAAAAAAAATTATCAATCAATTTTGCACTTAAAATAGTTTTTTTATAATTTTAACAACAAACTGTTAACCATTATACAAATAATAATAACTAAGAATAATTTTCTAGAACTATGATCCGAACTAAAATGCATCCGAACATTAAGATGTTCGCGAAATCTCATGTAGAGTGCGTTACTTGATGAATAAGGTTTATAAAATGTCGGTAACAAATTATAAGAAAACCATCTATGTTAAAATTCAGATACGATATCGTTATGATTGATAGATTTATATTTTTAATGAAGCAATGCATACGATCATGCGATCTTATTAGAAAAAATAATATAAAAATATTAAACATGTAAAAATTATTCTTACAATTTTCCAATAGTCTTTCGTATATAACCTTAACTGTTCAAACAAATTAATATTCGTTACTTAATTAAAATACAGAAATAAAAAACTAATAATTTTGTTTGATTTATCATTAAAAACACATCAACAGAATATAAATATAAATTAAATATATATATAAAAACTATGAAAATTAAAAGAAACAAAGATTTGAATGGTAAAATATACACTAATATACACTAATGCACACGAATCTGGTAACTAATTGTATTAAATATATGCGATTTTAAAAAGATATGCGCGCGTCATTAATACGCATGCGCAGAATGTGAATCTGTAATACACAAAATACATTGAAACGCAGGCTGGAGCAAGTGTCATGGCGCTAACTTCGGATATCGATTTTGGTCCAGTGAGATGTAGACCATTTATATTCTATTGATAACATTTCCAACTTATCGCCAGTAACATAAATATTTATAATATTTATTTCTTTTATATTTATTAACTTAAACTTAAAAATTACTGTTACTGTATGATACTGGCAGGTAAACATATTTTTATTGGGAGTGGTCATTGCCATCTCAACCCTATATAAATTTGTAAATAGTTTCGTTTAAAATGCGAATATTGACGTTCGGTATTCTTTTTAATACTCTTCGTATTATATGCAGTAAGTATTTTATCTTTTTCTATCATAAATATTTAAGAATCATTTAAATCTTTTAAAAATTTTACTTGTACTTTAGGTATTATTTTGTCATTTACTTTGAGTACGTTAAGCTCAATTGTTTTCTATACAAAAAGTAGAATGACAAAAAAGATTTATATTTCATTTAGGTGTTGCTGGATTGAAAATTTTCGAAGCAAATCCTGACACAAAGAGACTTTACGATGACTTATTATCGAATTATAATAGACTTATACGACCTGTTATGAACAATACCGAAACCTTGACAGTTCAACTCGGTTTAAAATTATCACAATTAATTGAAATGGTATAAAATTATACAATTTTTTTTTTGATAAAGTAATATTAATAATATTGCTTAAATTTACAGAATTTAAAAAATCAAGTGATGACCACCAATGTCTGGGTAGAACAGGTAAAATTAATGATCAAATATATTTCATTCATTGTAAATTTTATATTTATAGAGATAAAATTTATATTTATAGAGATGGAATGACTATAAATTAAAATGGAATCCAGAAGAATATGGTGGCGTGGAAATGCTATATGTACCTTCCGAAAATATTTGGTTACCAGATATTGTCCTATATAATAAGTAAATTTTAATTTATATTATAATTTATTAATAAATCAATATATGAAATTATATAAGAAAAAATTTAATAGAAATTCATATTTATACCATAAATATTAATTAAATATAATTTTATAGTGCTGACGGTAATTATGAAGTGACGCTTATGACAAAAGCTACATTAAAATATACTGGTGATGTATCTTGGAAACCGCCCGCAATTTACAAATCATCTTGTGAAATTAATGTAGAATATTTTCCATTCGACGAACAATCGTGTATTATGAAATTCGGTTCATGGACTTACAATGGCGCTCAGGTTATTCAAAAATATTATTTATATTGATAAATATTTTTTAATCAAAATCAAATAAAAATAAATTAGTTTAAAGGATTAATAAATAATTGACTTGAAATTAATATTATTTACTGAAAATATATTTTGTAAAGATTTTTATTAATAGGTAGATTTAAAACATATGAAACAAGAAGCTGGTAGCAATTTAGTTGCAAAAGGAATAGATTTGAGCGATTTCTACTTATCAGTAGAATGGGACATTTTAGAAGTACCAGCATCGAGAAATGAAGAATATTATCCATGTTGCACAGAACCCTATTCTGGTAAACAAATTGCTATAATATTGTAATATTAATGTTATAAAATATAAATGCATTTTAAATATTATTTATATTATTACAGATATCACCTTCAATATTACAATGCGAAGAAAAACATTATTCTATACGGTTAACTTAATAATTCCTTGCGTGGGTATTACATTCCTTACAGTACTTGTATTTTATTTGCCAAGTGATTCGGGCGAAAAAGTAAGAATTATAAAAAATAATAAACAAATAAACAGATATTTCATAAATTTATTTAAAATATTTAATTTCTACAGGTATCATTATGTTCTTCCATTCTCCTCTCATTGACAGTATTCTTTTTATTATTAGCCGAAATTATTCCACCAACATCTCTGGCCATACCACTTTTAGGAAAATATTTACTATTTACTATGATTTTAGTCACTTTATCAATATGGATTACTGTATGTGTTTTAAATGTCCATTTTCGGTAATCTAAAATACCAATATTACCAATTTTATACTATATATTAATTATATTGTTTTATCTATAAAATATTTAAAATCATGTTTAATTGTGTTATATAGATCTCCATCTACACATAATATGTCACCATGGGTTAGACAAGTATTTTTAAATTGGATGCCGCGAATTCTAATGATGCGTCGAACACCATATTCAACTCCAGAATATGATGATACATATATGGATAGCGGATATACTAATGAAATAGATTTTAGGTAAATATTTTAATATCTATCGAATTTTTAAGTAGAAAAAGTTTCAAAAATATACATTACAGTTTTCCTGATAGCGTTAGTGATTATCCATTGGAATTGAAAGGAAGTCCTGATGGATTTGAAAGTGTTACCTCTCAATATAAAAATATACGAGAAGATGATGCTCGACATATTCCACATGCATCAGGTAAATATTTAGATTAATATATTATGTCATATAAAATCATTTATTAAATTTAAATTAAAATAAAATTATTTATTAAATTTATCAGTGCATTGATATTTGAATAATCTCGTATGAATATTATGAATATACAATATTTTTAATTTACAAAATACACAATGCATATAAAGAATTACATGGCAACAAAATAAATAATCGCATATTAGAATAACGAAATAATTTGATAATTCAATATTCTATACAATGGCGTGTCGCATTATATAAATAAACTAATGTCATGTAATATATATTTAAATATATGCTAATAATAAAATACTGTTATAGTTACCGATAGTGAAAATACAGTCCCAAGATATTTATCTCCGGATGTTATCTCGGCTCTTAAAGGTGTGCGTTTTATTGCTCAACATATAAAAAATGCAGACAAAGATAATGAAGTAAGTTGAATACATATTATCTAAGTATTCATATGTTTTACTTTTGATACTTTTTTTAAAAAACTTAACATTTCAATTATATTCTTAAAAATATTTATATATATATAATATATATATATATATAAATATATATAAGAATATATATATATATATATTCTTAATATTCTAAATTTTTTTCTTATATATTTTTTTATATTTTTAGGTTATAGAAGATTGGAAATTCGTAGCTATGGTTTTAGATAGACTTTTTCTTTGGGTTTTTACATTGGCATGTACTGCAGGAACACTTGGCATAATATTTCAAGCACCAAGTTTATATGATACAAGAGAACCTGTGGACCAACAACTTTCTGGAATATCACCTCGCAATTATATGTATCCAAACATAGAAATTCCAGAAGGATAAATTTTGAAATTCATAATATATATATAATACGCGTAAAAAGACTATATATAATATAAAAATATTAAATCACTAATATTCCATTTATATCCATTTTATTTCTTATAATTTTAGATTGACTTTTATAAACACAAAATTTATATCAAATATAATCTAAACAGTTTTATTAACTCTGAATTAAATAATATTTCACAATTAAATATTTTATTAAAAAAAGTAATTTTAAAAAAATTTTTAGTTTAATTATATTAAAATTTGTAGTACAAATATTTACATTTTATATTTCACTCTTTCATTTACACATTAAAGTTAATAAGAAATTTATATTACAAAATAATCTTAAAATTCAAAATGACTATTATTTTAGACGAAATTATATATAATTTTATTATAATAATGAAAAAGTATAATAAAGCAATTTATTATTTAAATTAATTTGATCTTATTTATACATTATGAGTTAAATATCAAACAATAATGTACCATCTCTATATCTAATGAAGGAATGCTAGATATTATACATATATAAAAAAAAATATTTTGCTTATTTTTGTCAAATTTTAAGTACCAAAAGTAAAAACGTTATGAATTATATATTATAACTTATTATTATATAGTAACTTTTTTATAAGGTAATCAAAAAAATTTTAAACTTTTAGTTTTTCTTTTGTACAAAATTGCATATTTGTTTTAAAATTTGGCAATTTGATAATAATAAATTTAATAAATACAAAAAGTTTTACTCTAAATCAATTATCATTAATTCTGGCGATTCGCTTGTACTGCTAATCGAGCTAGTTTGTGATTTTTTTGGTGAAGAAGTACCACTAGCTATTTTTTTTGTACTTTGTGTTGGTGTGGTATGTTCATCATCATCATCACTATCTGATATTAAATCAATCACAACAGCTCGTTTCTTTTCCTTTTGAGGTGTAAGGCTGCTTTCATCTAAACAATTAAATGATTATATTAAATATTTATCAACATTTAAAACATTTAAAAACGTTTATTTTTAAATTTGCGATATTTATAAACATATTAGAAATAAAATATTACCAAGATCAACTGTATCTACATCGATTTTACGATCTTGCGAATTTGTAATAACTTTTGTTTCGTTCTTCTCTTTATCTTTTTCTTTTTTAAAACTAATTTTCCCAAGATCCATCTTGCAATAATTGAATTTCATTTACATCTGGTAATAATTTCTTAGAGTTTAATACTTCTTGAAAATATCCATCGATAACGAGATTATCATATAACGCTGGTTTATCACAAACTGGACAATTCCATGTTGGTTTTCTTTCATTCATTTGAAGAAACAATGATGCATCAAAACATTGCAGATGCGAACATGTTGTCGCCCTACATGGTGTACTCATTCGCATTTTGCCTAATGGACAAGCTAAAGATACTCTAAGCGAAGTTGTCGCTATTTCACTATCTGCATCCTCGTTAAGTTTTTCCTTAACTAGGAAAATAATAATTATCAGAAAAAAGCATTAAGTTTCAACATTGTAAAATATTCTAATTGTAGAATTACTT